AAAAATCTGGAAGTATATGCTCTCTAACACCAAAATATGTTACTGGCATAAAAACACAAAGGTCAATAGAGCAGAATCAAGAGTCCAGAAATAAACCCATGCATATTTGGTTAACTTATAACAAGGGAGTCAAGAATACAATGAAGAAAAGTATAATCTGGTCAATAAATTGTGTGGAGAAAAGAGCAAGCACATACAAAAGAAAAACTGGACAATTATCTGATCCTACACCCAAAGTTAATTCAAAATGAGTCAAAGAGCTACAATCATAAAACTCCTAGGAAAAAACACAAGCAGTAACATCCTTAGCATCAATGGGACCCATCAAATGTTAAAACTTCTGCACAGCAAAGGCAACCAGTAATTAACACAATGAAAAGACAACCTATTGAATGGGAGACAATACTTGAAAATCAAATATCAGGTTAGGGATTAATATCTACGATGGATGGAGAACTTACCTAATTCACTAACAAACCAAACAAACCAATTTAAAAATGAACAGAGGATCTGAATGGACATTTTCCAAGACGACATAGAGATGGCCATGGGGCACATGAGCATATGCTCAGTCTTAATAATCATGAGGGAAATGCAAATGAAAACCATAATGAGATACCATCTTACATGCGTTAGAATGGCTATCATCTAAAATACAAGAAATATATTTTAGAGAAGATGTGGAGAAAAGCAAGGTAATTGAATGTAGCCATTAGGAAAACGGTATGGAGGTACTGAAAACAACTGAAAATAGAACTAACACTTTTAGGGACTCAGCTGAAGAAAACAAAAATACTAGTGCAGAGAGATATATATTCCAGCATATTCATCACAGTATTAGTTATAATAGCCAAGGCGTGAAAGCAGCCTGTCTGTTAATGAACAATGGATGAAGAATGGATGGATAAAGATAATGTGGTAAATGTATGTGTACATGGACACACATACACACAAACACACATGCAATAATATTCTTCACCTATGAAAAAAGGAAAATTTGGTATTTCCAACAACATAAATGGACCCTGAGGGCATTGTGCTAAGTAAAATAAGTCGGATTGGAAAAGACAAACACCATATGATCGATCTCTTATCTATAGAGAATCAAAAACAAAAACAAAAACCTCCAAACTTACAGAAAACAACTTGGTGGTTGCCAGAAGCAAGGGTAAAATGGGTGAGATGAATACAGATGCTCAAAAGATACAAACTTCCAGTAATGAATAAAGTCTGAGAATGTAATGGTACAAACTTGGTGGCTATTACTAACACCATATTACTTATTTAGTCACTAAGACAGTAAACTGTAAATGTTCTCATGACAAAAAAATTAAACTAGTATGGAGATGGGTATTAACTAATTTTGTGTGAAGATCATTTTGGAGTATATACAAGTATTGAATCATCATGTCGTACACCTAAAATAAAACTTAGTCAACTATTTCTCAAAAAAACATGTAACTTAAAAATATATACAGCCCATCAACATTTTGAATGGCTAGTAATATTTTTTTTAAAGATTTATTTGTACAGAACTGGGGTACAGGCCAGAGATGCGGAGGGTGAGAGGATTCACCAGAGACAGAGTGGGGAGCAGAACAGGCAGATCGATGAAGTACACTGCTGAGGGGAGCAGCGGGCGGGTCAGGAGAGGTCTGCCATGCCATGTGGACTCCTCCGGGGCAGGTGGGGATCGAACTCATGAGGAAGTGGCTTAAGCTTCTTGGTGCAGTGTTTTAACCCGCTGCGCCACCAGGGAGGGCGGGCTAGTCATATTTGATGCTGGAAATGATTTTTGGACTTTATTTGTTACAATAAAAATACTTCAGTAAACATGCTGGCATAGACATTGTATTTATTTTTCTAATTATTCCACAATAAAGTTATATCACTAATAGGTACATTTACTTAGTATCAAATTACCCTTCAAAAAGATACAAATTTTCACAATTAGCAAGAGTCTGAAAAATCACTGCTTCCCCTCCAGCTCATTGTAATAAGAAATAACATTTTAGATCCTTGGTTGAGTTTTCATTTTTAAGTTGGTAATTGCATTTCATTTCTCATCTTTCTACACAAATCCTTTACATAATTTCCTATTAGGAAATCACTTCCTTACTAATTTTAAAGAACCCTGTTTTTATGTTTAATTTTTTTCCTAGTTCATTGTCTTTCAAGTTATTAAGAGGCTTATTTGGTTATACACGTCTGAATCCAAATAGCTTCCTTTTTTTTGTATGTTATCTTGCTTTTGATGTGTTGTTAAGCAAGGAAGACGTTAGTGAAGATATAACTTCTATATGTTCTTATTAAACACTTGTATTATTTTATGAGTTTTGATTAGTGGGTTTTTTTATTTAAATCTTTAACCTATCTCATTGTTTTTAGTCTACAGAGTGAAGTCTGAATGGAAACATTTTATTTCAAATCTCTGCTGTCTGGGTGCCGATTATCAGATAAAGGTTATCTGTTCCCTTCACAATTCCTGCAACGTCTTTTATACAGATACTGGAACTCTTTCTACTGCCCTTTACCTTTCCCCCCCCATAAAATTCACCAAATTATCTTTGTCTCCCATTATGAGCAGATGTTTATAAAATATGTGATTTTTGCCCCCAGTAGGCTATTAACACTTATAGGAGGTGTTTCCACTGTTCAGAAGGAGGCAGGCAATAGTCTGCCACTTCGAGTCTGTTCTCTCCTTTTCTATCGGGCTTAACATGCCAGTCAGTTGGGGGAGTCTTCACTCTAGGGATATCACCACCACCACCACTCCCCCAACACCCAACCTCCTCTGTCACAGCAGATGGCTTTTTCCTCCTGCCTCGGTACTTTAATCACTACTATGGAATTGCCTTCTGTTTACGCCCATGGAAATCATATATACTCAACATTATACTGTTTGACTGTGATACCAGAATGCAAGGGTTTCTTCCTAAAAATAGGGACACTCATTGAGTTTGTTTTCTTCCTATGTTCTAGGCAACCATCTGCTTTTAAATGCCATAATATCCTCCCAGCCAGGCGCTTCCATCTACTATCCACATAGCTTTTGGTCAAGCTCTGCCGGCTGTCAAGAAGTTTCAGAAAAGGATAACTATTTCTATCTTATCATTAATCACTTGCTGATCATGATGCTGGGTTTCCTTCCCAAACAATGATGTCAGATTGCCTCAACATCCCACAGCACATGCATTTCTCCAAGACTTAATCCTTTTCCTTGGAAGGCTTTTGTGGTATTATCAACACTAGCATTTGTATAACACATATTTTCATTTCTAATAACATCCTGTGAATATTATTTCTTTCCCTTATGCTCATTACTGTTAGTTGAAATAGTTTAATAAACATTAGATAATAGAAAACCCAGACAGAGTTAAACATATAAGAGCTATTCAAATTAAGACAGCTTAGTTTGGTACTTTTGAACTCATTGGCTAAGTATAAAATTAAGAGTATGAACAAAATTTACTCTAACTAACCAATGACATGGTTTGCAAAAAATATATAGTGGCATTGTTCTGTATCACAGTAAATTCATATGCATATTTTTTATAAAGCTCTTTCCAAAATTCACGGACCTATAAAAATCAAAGCATGGGGCCACATTAACTAAGACATATGTGCATAGTAATTGCTTTCGCCAGCAAATTTAAATAATATTTCAAGCAATACATTTCATTATTTCATAATTTTAAGATTATGTGAAGCACTTGTATAAAACATTGATGGGCTTCCATGAAATATTTACTATGATCAATGACCTTAAGGGGGAGATATGATTTACTACTTTCATCAAACCTAGACCAAACATTTTCAAACCTGCTTTCTATTCAACAACTTAAGAGACTTTTTACTGTTTGCTTCCATAAATTCCCAATCACAAATCCTGCCAAATTTTATTTCATGTTAACAGGTTCTCATTTTTTTTTTAACCACATATTTAAATTATGTTATGTTCAGGGTTCACAGAGTCAATATTTTCCACCCTTAGAAAGCAGTGTCTCACTTCCAACTTGTTAGCTATAGCAAGTGTAGCAAATTACTTACTTCCTACCTGTTGAAAATATGAGCTATATGGAGGTTTCTGGGCTTCCCTCCCTCAGGCCTTAGAAACCTTCTTAGAGTAAATATACTCTAAAGTCTAGGCTTTGCACAGACCATCACATCACATCCATTTTCTATACTGCCATGGAATCTTAATTTTAGATTCTGGTGTAATATTTAAGTCAGAATTTTTTAATTAATCATGTTCTTAAAATAGCTAATAATTCCCAATCTGATTGCAAATGTTTATTCAATCTAACAACTCTTAACCCTATCTGTGTTGAAAGGCATTAAACCAATAAACCAAAACACTTCCAGATCCCTCGAGAACCTGAAGGACAACCTAATATTTCTGGTCCCTCCTAAAATGTATATTCTGTATGACCAAACAGTACTGCTTAATTCTGAGAAAATATGACTGCACTCTAAAGAGAATTTATTCTGGAAATAAAGCAGCTGGAAAGGCCTGGAAATAGAAAAGACAGAAACCAAAGAATTATGAGTAGTAAATTGCTCAAATGATATGTTATTATATATCTAGAGATGTTTCAACTTGAGAGAGGTATAACAGTTTAGTTTCTTAAACTGAAAGGTAAGCAACTTGTGAAAGTATGTAACATATATATAGGCTTCCTTTGAGTTTAAGTGGCAAACTCCTTTAAGTGAGTTCTGAAATATAATAAATATGCAAAACTTAAATTGCAACAAAACTTTTCAGGAGTGTACCTAAAGTTAAAATGAATGATTCCTGGGCTGAACTTGAGAATGATGAAGCAAGAGTCTAGACCATAAATACAGATAATAGCAGAGAAGGAAAAAATACACATGCAAAACCAGCCTCTGGCAAGCAACTGATTTTCAGACAATTTCTAGGTGTTTCAGAAAGAGCCTTGAGAAGCTTTAGAGGACACTGGCATCGCCACTACAGGACATGAGCACATTCTCTGCCTCACCTGTGGCACTTCCACATCTTGGTCCTTGACTTCTGTCTCCTCCTCATGAACGGAGTTAGCCTCCTCCTCTGGCTGGCTAGGCTCTTCTTGGGGTTCTTTGTAGACCACTTCTTCCACAGTCTCTGCTTCATCTTTGACAAGCTGAGTTTCTGTGGGAGTGTCCTCTTGTAAAGATGCTGCCACAAGGCACAGGGGGGATACGTGATCGTAGTGAGTGTGGAGGACTCGCAGAGCGATGTTGCTTGTGGCTAATACCCTTGGAATATCAAATCCAATTTCTGTATCTGAGAACCGGATGTTCTTGTACCTGTTAAGCATTATTTTTTTAAAGAGATTATTTGTGCATACAGAACTGGGGTACAGGCCAGAGGTGTGGGGGCAGGGAAAGGATTCACCAGAGAGAGTGGGGAGCAGAACAGGCAGATCCACAAAGTACACTGCTGAGGAGAGCAGTGGGTGGGTCAGGAGAGGTCTGCTGTGCCATGTGGGTCACCTCCAGGGCCAGGAATCTAATGGGCACTGAAGCAGCTGCCCCTAGCTTGCAGTGCTGCACTTTAACCCACTGCACCGCCGGGGGGGCAACAGGGGCCCTAAGCATTAATTTTAACAAAGTGAATGTAGCCCCGGGAAAGGAGTTCTGCTGTGCATTTACACTGAAGCGCTACTTCTTACTTCACCTCAGTTTGAATCTTGGCCCTTGCTCTCTTTGCAGCATTTGGATCCAATCCTCAAAATACTCTTGGGGGATCCCTTTGCCTATGCTCTTTTCTTCCATTTCTGGCAGTTTCTGCCTCCTCTATGTGACCTTGTTGCAAACCCTCCTTAGATTTTGATACTGATCTCTCCAGCATAGACCTTCATCCTCTTCTTCCTCTACATGCATTTTTTGGATACTACTGTTGCTGGGGCTTCAGTCACTGTGCCATGACATCAGATGATGGTGTTCCCAACAGACAATTCCAGATACTTAGGTGTGTGTCATCTGCTGCACCACCCAAGTTAAACTCTACTGTTTGCACAACCATGACATTAGCAAACTACAGACATTTCTCAGTATTTACATTGTCAGGAATTTTAAATTTCCTTAGGCATGGTTGGGGGTTGAGGGTGACACATTCCTGAATGGACATTAAAGTGATCCAGAAGTGTGTGGGCATATGTAATAACCTAAAATTTGTTTTCATAAATCTCCCAAAATTCACTTACTGATTAAAAGCTAAACACTTCCCAAAATACACCTCCCACTCAGATTGCTCCCAATATCTTGGGTATTTCCTAGGTACTTCAAACTTCAAGCCCACCACTGGACTCATCATCCCTGCAAACTCCCCTCCCCCATCACCATCAGAGTAAGACTTGTTCTGCTCCACTATTCCTATCTTAGTAAATGATAGCAGCTAATCCTCTTCTTAAACCTGGGTAGTTAAGATAGGGTTATTCATTTTATTTTCATTCTTTTAAAAACATACAGATTAATTTCCTTTAGGTTATATTAACACATTGTTTGATTCCATTTATACCACCAAGTATGTTGCAGCAAATGGAACTTGGAAAGTATTTTTATTATTCCCTTTGACTATCAAAAATTAAGTCCAGGGCCCTTCCTGGTTAAAGCACAGCATTAAAAAGCTAAAGCCACTTCCACATGAGTTCGATCCCCGCCCTAGAGGTGACCCACATGGCATGCCAGACCTCTCCTGACCCACCCGCTGCTCCCCTCAGCAGTGTACTTCGTTGATCTGCCTGTTCTGCTCCCCACTCTGTCTCTGGTGAAGCCTCTCACCACCCCTGCACCCTTGGCCTGTGCCCTAGTTCTGTATGTATGCATAAATAAATCTTTAAAAAAAAATTAAGTCCAATTATTCCTGCTGTTTTAGGACTGTCTTTCCAGAGCTAAGCCCAGAATACAGGCCTCCTAATTTTTATTCTTGTATCTTTTCCCCTAAAACTCACTGTAAACTAATTAAGTTAATTTGGATTGTTTCAGATCAAGCAGCAGCCAGGTGATCAGAAAATTGTGATGACTCATTATGGCTCAGACACATGTTAAGAAAAGAAAAACAACTGGGTAAACATCACTTAAATTATCTAAAAAATAGAAGATGATTATTTTCAACAGTCCACAAGGTCATTTATTTTTTAAGACTCAGACTGCTGTGCAGAAACCATGTACCACACCCTCTTTGGGGGATTAGGGAGGGAGTTGAAGGGGATGAAGAGAAAGGGAAAAAACTGATATATTTGTTTCTCATGGGTTTGTATTGTCCACCCTCCTGAGGCCTTTAACTGCACCACCATCTATCCCTCACCCAATCCTATTAAGTAATATGGTTGTCATTTTAGTAATGATTCACTGCAGCTCAACCAGGCTGAGTAACTCTCTTGAGGGATGGCAGGTCTAGCACCCAACCCCCAGGCTGACTCACCAACATGGTTCCCAAGTGCACCATACTACTATAGGCTTCTGCCTGGCGTCCTATGTGACCAATTATCTCCTGACGACACCACCACCCAGGGGAGTACCTGGGATTCTTCTTGAGGTTCGCCCACACATAAAGAGTAATATTTTCATCTTGAATGACTTTCTCCATGTTCCCACTGTCCAGATCTGCTAATGTGCTAGCATGCTGCAAGAAAAAAAGATGTTCTAAGAGTCTGGCATCTCATGGTCAGTCATTTCCTCACCATCTGAGAGCAGGGCACCTCATATAGTTGAGCAATGTGGGACAAAACAGACGCTTCCATCAAATGACACAGAATGGCTCTTAAAAGTCACCTATGCACTCTGCTCCTGGCCTCCTCAGGTAGCATCTGGGGGTTACTGGTACACTAACCTTATCAGTGTTATTAGCTTTATCACAGCTTTTCATTTGCTCTTTCACCCACACTTGATTCAAATGTAGAGTATGCTACTAAAAACTTAGCCCACTTCTGAGCAGAGTAAGTTTAGAAAACCTATCCACTATAAGGAGTCAAGATGAGCCCTGCCTGGTTTACTAATCCCATTCTGGATAGTCAGGATTAAACATATAAATTGATGGATGTTCTTAGGAATTTGTGAATGTACGTGAACAAAGCTCTGTCCACCTTGAAATGAACTAAGGTCTGAAGCTAGCCAAGTAGAGTTTACTTGGGAATACCAGAAGGACAGCAATCCAGGACAAGCTGGGTAGGAAACCACAGGCAAATTCAAGGAGGCAAAGGAGGTCAGCTTTTAGGAGTTTTTAGGAGGAAACTGGAAGGGGCTTTTTTGACCAGGGGCCAATCAAAGTTATCCCTGGCTTGCCCAACCTGGTTTGGAATCAGATTTCCTTTGTTCAGTTTTACAGTTTGCCCAAAAAATTAGCCTCTTAAAGGACTTAATGTGTTTGGCTATGATGTAAATACTTAAAAAGTATTGAGAATTAAATTTATAGCTAATCACCCCACACACACCTAATTGTAGTAATTTACATTTACCAATACTTTGATCTCCCACCAGCTATAATTAAGGAGGACTATTTGGGGTCAGGGAGTCATTTTGTGTTCGCTTTGGAGGCTACAAGAAATGGACAGAAGATGGCACCCCCACCTGAGAAGGCTCAGCTGAGCGGCCACATAAGCTCTTAGTGGTGCTCACAAAGCACACTGTTCCGGAAGAGGGAACCAGCACATCATCAGATGAGCAATGTATTAATCAAGTAGCACCTACATCTAAGAAACAAAGTTTTTGTTTCTAAATAAAAAGATATGGAGACAAAGAGTACATCTTTGCTTTCCCCTTTCCTTGATTTAAACAATGGGAAAATACAGGTGAGGGACTGGAAGCAGACTTAAGAAGACTTAAGCAGACTTAGGCTAACCCTGCAGGATTTAAAAAATTAGGTTTGCGGGCCCTCCCTGGTGGTGCAGTGGGTTAAAGCACAGCACTGAGACGCTGAAGCCACTTCCGCATGAGTTCGATCCCCGCTTGCCCTGGAGGAGATCCACATGGTGAGGCAGACCTCTCCTGACTCGCCCGCTGCTCCCCTCAGCAGTGCACTTTGTCGATCTGCCTGTTCTGCTCCCCACTCTGTCTCTGGTGAATCCTCTCACCCTCCATATCTCTGGCCTGTACCCCAGTTCCATATGAATAAATAAATAAATCTTTAAAAAAAAATTAGGTTAGCTAATATGCATCTATTTAAAAGAAAACATTTGGAGACTCCTTTTCGGCAAAATATACTGGTAGAAGTTCCTGTGGGGGAACTATTAAGAAGCCAAATTATTTTCAAAAGGCAGGATGCTGGTCCTTTATTTAATTGTGGTCATGGCAACAATTCCCAGTTCTATAATACCTCCGTATGGCTGCAACATCATGGCATGCAAATTCAAAGTGCTGCTAGACATAGGGACTGGAGCTTGTGATCCCCAGACATGATGCTGGGTCATGTTGAATGGGGACATTTGCTAACTATGGCCAGGTGAATGACAGCAAGTGTCGCTTGCACTGTGTCCTTTCTGACTGCTTCCTCCTTGTATCCTTAGACTTGCTCCTCTACCCTCTCTATATTCTGGATGCAGGAAGCGAGGTCCAGCTAGATTTCACAGGGTATGTTGTATTATCATATCATATCCGCCTATCCAGGAGGATTCTAAAGTGCCACTATCAGTAACATGGACTCAGCTTCGCGGTGAAGGTGACCACATCCCCCACTGAAAAGTACGTTTTCCCAATCAGTAAGCAATCTGTGGTTTACCTGACTCAATCGAAGCATTGGGGGTTAAAGTGGTGAGGTTCTGACAGTTCTGCTGCAGTTACCAGGTGGAGTCTTTAAAAAAAAAAACAGTTCTCCCTTTCTTCTGGAACTTCCCTACAGACTAAATCACTTAGCCAGTAAATATGCTGTGATCAGTTCTAGTCATTACTCTGATTGTTAAATTATCCTACATCTGAGCAGCAGGAGTCCCTTGAAGCTGGACCTGCCCCTGCGGATGTGGCTCCATTTGTCATTTGTCACTCGCCTGGTAACACAGCCACATCTTTCACAAGACTCAACATCACCATCCGATCCGCTTCCCCACTCCAGACCTAGACAGACATTTGCCCCAATAGGCTCTAGTTCCTCTCTATGGAATAAGATGAAACATGGTTTGCATTTCCATTTCCAATTAACAGTACAGTGTTTTCAAACAATCTTTTCTTAAATACTTTTTCTTTCTAAAATAAAAGCCTTCATTACTAATAACTGTAATACACGTTCTTACTTGCGTTTGCTTACAATATCAATAAAACAGTTGCTTAATTACAAAATGAATGTTACTGCTAATAATAAACATATTATTATGTTTATTATTATTTGTCATTATTATTATTTGTCATTAATAATAAATGACATATTCTTCACGAAGGTTAGAGGACTGTGTTCTAGATTTTAAGAAACAAAACAATGGCCCCTCCCTGGTGGTGCAGGGGGTTAAAACAGCACTAAGAAGCTAAAGTCACTTCCGCATGAGTTCAATCTCCCCTGCTCTGGAGGTGATCCACATGGTGAGGCAGACCTTTCCTGACCTGCCCACTGCTCCCCTCAGCAGTGTACTTCATGGATCTGCCTGATCTGCTCCCCACTCTGTTTCTTGTGAATCCTCTCACTACCCCTGTGCCTCTTGTGAATCCTCTCACTACCCCTGTGCCTCTGGTGTGTACCGCAGTTCTGTATGCACAAATAAATAAATCTCTAAAAAAAAAAAGTAGTGAAATACCCAAAAGCAAGATGTGTTCCATAGACTGATTCCTGAATAGGATAACAGAATGCATTGGGGATTACTGATTTTCTCAGCTATCATAAGAGTTTTTGGTTATTTGGAAATTATTAGTGCAAACAACAGTTACTACCACTAATGATAACCTGTGTCACTTGATTTATTTAGACTACAGTGTTATGTGAATTTATTTTCATAGTAGTAATCCTAGTGAAAAGGATCGGAACGCACCTCCCTAAAATCTGCCCTTTTTGACCTGAATTATTTTGACCTGAAGGCAATCAACACACGGGTGACTCAAGGACAACATCTAACTCTCCCTTAATTAGCTAGAAGGGTTTAGCCAGCCTACCTGGCACAATGGGAAAGTGATTCCCAGAGAGAACTTTTTATCTGCTTGACCCACCTGCTCAGCAGGACAAACATCCAATTACCAAGCACCTGTTTTCCTTGCTCCGCTGAAGCCCCAGGCTGGAGCTGGGACTGGAGGGAAATGGCCTAGAAGCCTCAGCTGTGATTTTTTTGTGGGTCACCATGTCTAGGGGCTCCATAAGTACAAAATTAAATGTTTTTCTCCTATTCTGCCATATGTCATTTTTATGGAGCCAGCCACAGAATGTAAACTGGTGGGAGAAAATAATTTACTCCCTTGTACTAGCAAACCTTAGCAAATGTAAAACAAACTAACCTTAAATCTCCTCAAAAAATATTTATAGTTATTAAATCTGGGTAAATATGTGTACCTTAAATTATTCTGAGCTTTTCCATAGCCTTTTAATTTTTCAAAATAAAAGTAGATTTGACTATCTTATAAAATTTTAACTTTTACAAAAGTTAGTAACAGATAAACAAAAAAAAAATCACTTACTCTGAGAAGAATTTCTGTGGCAATATTAAACTTAAAATGAAGGAGCTCCTGCAGTTCTAGAATTGATCCTTGGTACTGGATTATATTTTTATTTTGCAAATCATATGGTGGAGTTTCCAATAAAATGAATTTCAATTTCTCAATTAACTATAAAATAAAAGATTATTTACATGCATCTTCTGACAACAAGTGGGTCAAAGGGGGCTCTGATCCAACACTTTTGAGGGGAGAGGGCACACCATCACCAGAACACAAAAATCCTTTCTTGAATTTAGTTGGTAGTTTAAGAATATTTCTTCCAAACACTCATTATAAGACTTCTCAAGAATGGTAACAGAGTTTTCAGTAGCAAGTTACAGATGATGTATGTCTCATCATCACCTAACACTGAGGATACGTAACATAATGAAAGTGAGGAGGAGGAATTACTAGTATTAACTAAATGCTTATTATGTGCCAGGAACTGTATCTTATGCATTGCTTTAATTCATGTAGTCCTCAACAGAACTGTGAGGCTGACACAGCTATTATGCCTCTTTTACATGGAGAAACTGAGGCATGGCCGGTTCCAACCGTAAGGGGCTTGGAAGCCACCACTCTATCCCAATAGCAGGGAAAAAGCTAAAGACAGTAGAAAATCAACATGTCTTCTTAGATGCATAAAAGGAGAACACAAGGCAAAGCACTGCCCTAAAGGTGGAGAGGCCGAAATAAAGACAGAGAAGTAGGCTCACCTAGAGTGGGCAGGGCCAGCAGAAATTATAGGAAGAGGGAGCCCAGGCAAGCGGAAAGCCTGAGGAGTGAAGGCTTTGTCGGAGACTCAGTGTGGTCAGCTGGAGTGGAAGGGACCCAAGAGGACGCTGCCATGGACAAGGAAGCTCACACCTCACCTCGAGGAGACTGAATTCCAGCAGCCAGCTCAGCCAGGTTCTCGCAATAAATAGGAGATGAAAATCCCCTCGTGCTTCCAGCAGGGGGCGGGAACAACACTGTTCTGCCAAGGCTTACCCTCAGGAGAAACTAATCAACCAAGGCCTAATAGACCTGGAGAAGGGAAGAAGCCTACCTCTTCTCACTCCAGCCATTCAGGCCGGTTTCAGAGGGAGCAGGAAATGCTCACGAAGATGGTGAGGTCACAGTCCAGAAACAGAAGCTTACTATCAGACTGACGTACTCCAGGCTACAGAAGGCTCCCTCCCCCATGCCTCATACCAGAGGCCTATTTACCTCGGGTCTTTGTACCTGGCATATCAAGTCAGGTTGAAGAAAAAATTATTAAGACATACCAAAAGGCTAAACCAACAAAACCACAACTAAGAGAGAGCGACCACAAGTATTAGAACCACACATGGCAGGGAAGTCAGGGTTATGGATGACCAGACTGGGAATTATCACTACCTAGGAGTCTAGTGGCTCTGTGGATACAGTAGACAGTGCACCAGAACTGAGCAGCAATGAAAGGCCAGAGAGGAGAATCCCAAGGGGGTGGGGGTGGGGGGGGAACACACATACAAAGAAAAGCTAGAGATCAAAATGTCCTCACAGAAATGAAGAATGATTTGAGGAGCTTCTTTGTAGATTGGACTCAGCTGAGGAAAATCTTGACACCAGAGAGTATCTCAGAAGAATCCTTGAGAACAAAAAAGCAGAGACCAAATACTGGAGAATGGGAAAAAAAAGTCCAGGACAGAATATCCAGTGATTGTGGGATACCATAAGAGGTATAACTTACATACTGGGAATTCTATCAGGAATAGGACAGGAGAAAGGAACAGAAGAAGTATTTGAAATATTAATCACTAATAATGTGCCTCAAGCTCATGTAAATCACCAAACCACAGAATAACAAGCAGCATGAATGGGGAAAAATACACACATGCATATAATTTACTAATAAGAGAAATCAAAGATAAACTCCTAAGGGAGGCCAAAGGGGGAAAAAAAAAAAAGACCTCCTCCATCTTTAGAGGAACAGAGTTAAGAAAAGTAGGCATTTGCCCAGGGGCCACGCAGGCAAAGAAGAGAGAAGAGACACTTGATTTGTTGCGAGAAACTGAGGTAAAACATGATCCAGGAACAATGAGTAAGTGGCAGAATTGAATTCTGAACATGGTACAGACCAAACAGAGCACATCTCTAAGATCAGAGAGGCAGCGCCGCCTCTGTGCTGTGAGGGACGCAGGTCCGCCACTCTGACGCTGGCCTTCCAGCCTAGCAGCTCTTCCCAGACTGATATAGGGCTGGTTATTGAATACTGCTGGGCCTCAGTTTCTTCATTTGTAAAATAGGGATAACAATGCCTACCTCATAGGGTTATTTTGAGAATTCAGCAGGTTACTATTTCTGATGCTTGGCACGGTAAGCTTTATCTAAGAGTTTGTCAAAGGGATTGGCTATTTGGAACTTGGTGTTTACCAGGGAGTCAAGTGTTTTCTGTTCCTCATAGGGTTTCCTGTTCTAATTTCATGACGTTGGGACTTCTCTTCTGGTTCATGTTTTGTTTTATTTGTCTTCTTCCCTTCCTCCTTGCTATGTATTGTGTCTTCTATATCCCCTTCCTAACAGTTGCAGCTCACTGAGGGGAACCCTAGATCTACTTTTGTCCCTGGCAGACACCAGCCCCAGGCCACATCACCCTCCTGGAGGAGAAGATGTACAGGGGAAGAACAATGCGGCCAACCCACTGGTGTCCAAGTGCTCACGGGCCAAGAGAGCACTCTGGAGCCACTGGAAAGTCAGGTGGAAAGGCCCACCTAGGCCCTTGAGGGACCACAAGCAAGCCACAGTCTAAGTTACTTCATGTGTAAATGAAGCTCAGAAGTTAGGCATTCAGATTGAAGCAGGCAATGGAGGCTATGAACCCACAAAGTCTACCTCGGAACAGCACAGAGAAGTAAATCACAGTGAGGAGACGCACAAAAACACAGCTAGGAACTGGAAACAAAAAAGCATTTGAAGATAAGAAGGAGAGAAATGGATACCTCCTAGTTTCTACGATCATGTAGGTGTGTCTGAAAGCAGATTTCTCTCTATTTATCCAACTTGGCATTTGTTCTTAAATCTAAGAGTTCTTATCTTCAATTCTGCAGAGTTTTCAGCCATTGTCTCTGGGCGTTGTTTCTCCCTCATTCTTGTGAATATCCCTCTGGGACTTTTTTTTTTTTTCCCAGTCTATCTTTAGTCCTTCTTGTTTGGTCATACATGTCTATTAACTGCTCTTTCAAATTTCCCAGATGGGAATGCACTGCATTCTGGTAAGTTCTTCTAATCCAATTTTGGACTGATATGTAATTAAGAGTTCTCCGTGGGGATGATTTAGTTTTCCCTTCACTAAGTTAACAATGAGCCAAACAAGTCTTCTCATCTCCCTTTACAGAGTAGTTTACCCATTATTCTCAATACTGTTTTGAGCTTCCCAGCCATATCCAAGGCCTCTGAAGTTACCTGTCTCATCGCTGCCCTCGAAACCAGTGCTAAGCAGTAGGGGTGGGTGGATTGATATCCCAGACTTGCAGACTTTCTAAATTGCTTTATGGCCCCCAAGATCTCCCCTACTTCCCTTGAGCTAAATAATGGATTCAAATTTCATTCATTTTTTTTCTAAGTTCATTGTAAAATGGTAGCCTCTCAAGTAAGCCTATCCATCCATTTGCAAAAATAGAAAGTAGAATATTCTTATTCATCTTCATATTCCCAGTGCCTTTAAAAGGGTAAATATCTAGCACACAGTTAAAATTAAAACATATGGGAAGTGAATCACTGAACAGTGGATAATTCCAGCTAAGGATAAAATCATGCACTCTCCCCCATGTTACTTAGATAAATGAATATGTGTTTTCTTTCACTTAAATTAGACAAGCATACAGTTAATATTTCATATTTTTGTCATGTGGATCTTACCTACAATGACAAACACTTTTGAGATGTAAAAGTTAAAAACAAAAAGATTAACAAATAATTTTTTCTTTAGCCAAGGAAGTATCAGTGCTATTAATTGGCAAGTGTTATTTACTTCTATTTGTAGAGTCAATATCAGACAATTGATAATTTAAGTAAATTCTGAAGTACTTACATGTAGCACTAGTTTACTCTTCTGAATAACTTCCTCAAAAGTCTCATTTGTTTCCTCTTTCCACAAACTAATAAAAGTATTAATTTCCTGAGCAACTGAAGGATCAGGACTCCCATCACATTGGAGGTAGTGGTTCCACTAAGGAAAAAATTTGAAGGTTCATTCTGATGAAAATTCAACCAGAGATTAAATTATTTCTTTTTTAAATTATGAATTCTTAGAACCGCAATTTAGGTTAAAAAAAAAACTTATGATGATTTGACTAGTTACTTGAGGTAAAAATTACCAAATCCCTCTTTATAAGAAGTTTCATTACCTCACTAATTCAAATAAATTCTAGCTATTTGCCATATATTTTTTTCTTTTCAAAACTATGTGTGAATTAGCTTTAGCTTCCCTTTCTAATCATACAACTCCCATTTATTTGTAAAGGCTAACACTTGTGTTAATTTCTATTTCTTAAATCATACTTAAATGTTCATTAGCATTGACATTTAAGCATGTGCCCTTCTATTTATTTTGTAATCTGTACAAATTCTACATTTGTAACCATGCTTAACTATTTTTTCTTAGAATTATAACTACTCATATTTCCATATAATTAGTATAGTTTCCCTATGTGTGCTGATAACCACCCATATTGTCCAAAGTTACATTATTTTGAGTGATACTCAATTGCATTAAATGCACGTTTTACATTTTAAGATCATTTCCACAGTATCATTTATCAAATATTACATGTCATGGGTTATAAAAACTTCAAAGATCTTATTTTGGCAAATACTGCAAAGCTAGGCCAATTTAATTTGTTACAAGCAGTATGAGAGCTTTGTCATATTAGATTCTTTTATAGGCAAATTGATAGTTTCTTGGGATTAAGACAGATATCGGGGGCTCCCTGGTGGCACAGGGTTTAAAGACACGGCATTATCAAGCTACTGCCAGCCCTGGGGCATGAGTTCATAACAGGCCTGGGAAGTGACCCACATGGCACAGCAGACCTCTCCTGTCTCCCCTGCTGCTCCCCTTAGCAGTGGATTTCAATAGATCCACCTGTTCTGCTCCCCACTGCTGAATCCTTTCACGACTCCCCCACCCCTGCAACTCTGGCCTACACTCCAGTTCTTGTATGCATAAATTTAAAAATTTTTTCAAACTTAAAAAAAAAAAAAAAGGCTATCAGACTAACAGCACCCTCTTGTGGTACCAAAGTATTAATTCAGGAGAAAAAGACAGTCTCACCTGAGAAAGCAATCTGATGTTTTCTTTTATTTTCTCTGCTTCAGGGAAAATCATCTCTAATAAAGAAAGTTCTTCAAGTTCTTCTTTTCTCCTTTCTAGATCCTATTTCACAAGGATAGATTCAGTGATGGGCTAGTTTTGCATTTCACAATTAGCATCTGAAATGTACTTGACAAGGCATGTTTTTTCAAAACCAATACTAAGATTAATTTGAATGTAACTGATATTTCCAAAAGGTTTCATCTGAAACAGTGGCTTGAAAGATACATCTGCAGATTCATGATGGGCCTCCACCACCCTTTCACGATATGTGAGATCAAATCTATTTTTAAAATCATATAAGGCCTTATTTGCCTTTTCCATGGAGTTCACATTTACACAGATACCACTTAGCAGAAAGTAAGTCACAAACTCTCCGAGGTGATCTTGAAGAGGGGAGGCAGCCAATTTCACCTAAGAATGACTTGACAACAAAATGAAAATTATTAATTTTACTTGACTTCATCCGTAAAGCATATATCTGTTTGATATTCTGGGTGACAAAGCAGGAAGCATGTGCAAGGCACTTTGGTTATGTATCAACAGACAACACTGACAAGAGATAAACACCTCTGCAATTATGAGTGTTTTGGCTGACATTCTCTCAAAAACGAATGGACTCAGTATCTCACTTCCATGACACAACTCAAAAGTATTTGTGGCTAGTGACAAAGTTCAAGCTTTCAAAATAAAAATACAAATTTTAGAAAACATGGATCTACCACTTGCAAGCTTGGCAGTTTCCCCCAGTCCTTTAAAAACTTTTCTGGTTTGGGGATGATACTAGAATGTGGGATTTTTTAAAATAATGAATAATAAAAATGTGTTAACATTTAGAAGCAAATAATCCAGTGAAGCAAATTTTCCCAAGCAATCAGTGTATGATACTGTAAAATTGTGCCTGGATACAAATGAATTCAGATCATTGTTTCAGTGTAACAGAATCTTAAAGTTTCTTTGAAATGCTTTCAGGCTGCACCTCAAAAAAACACCACTTTCTGATTTTGGATATACCATCAAACAGATCATCCAAAATTATCTGAAGGGCTATTACATTATTTCTTCCTTTTCTAACTATTTCCTGTGTGAGGACAGATTTTCCCCTTTTATTCCATCAAAACAACATACTGCCACAGATGGAATTCTGAAATAAAATATGATTTCAATTGTCTTCTGTTAAGACAGATGTTAAAGAGATTTAAAAAATTAATTCTACTCATTACTCTAATGAAAGACGTTATTTTTTCTTAAAAATGTTACTTAAGGGCCCTCCCTCCCTGGTGGCACACCAATGGGTGAGGACACAGCACTGCAAGCTAGCAGCCGCCGCCTCAGTGCGAGTTGGATCCCCGGCGGCCGGGGAGGTGACCCACAAGGTGCAGCAAACCTCTCCTGACCTGCCCGCTGCTCCCCTTAGCAGTGCCCTTGGTCGAGCTGCCTATTCTGTCTCCCACTCTGTCTCTGGTGAATCCTCTCATAGCCCCTGTACCACTGGCCTGTACCCCAGTTCTGTATACATAAATAAATCTTTTTTTAAAATGTTATGTACTGTTACTAATGTTTATTTTTAAGAACATTCAATATTTATTAATATAAAAGCGTTTCAAAACTTCTCAGTTTCAATTTCTAATGTGTAACTACCGATAGATGAAACCCTCATAAACAAAAGCTCCCTGTATGGAGGCATGACTGTAATTTTTAACAGTTAATGGGCTTTTGTCTAGTGATCAAAATGTTTCAGAACTTATGCTTTAAAATTTTCAGATGAAAAAGAGGTGAAACTTACAAAGAAAAATGGTAGAATTTGGATTTTGTGTTTTTGGTTCTTATTAGGCTGTCTATAAAGCAGACCAGGAACCCTAGCTTCAAAATTATAAGTTTGATATATGCCTGAGACCGGCTTGAAAACTATGCTGCTTATTTTCTCTGTTCCTCAATTTCCTTATCATGAAATGAGGATAATGTCATGGGAGGATTAAATGAGTAAGATCACTTCATAGGGGCCTAAATATTACTGTTAACTATGGTTAAGAATTACATTAAATGATCAAACAGGTCTGACAGGCATATAGCTTCATTCCTCATTAGGCACATTATTAATGTTTATTTACTTTTTCTTCAAGTTGATGCCATTTTTCTTTCTCAATTCGCTGTATCTCAAGCTTTTCCATTTCTTCTCTTTCATATCTCACACGGATTTCCTCTAAGAACACAGAAGATAATAATTTCTCCATGATTAAATCATCCCACTCTTAAGCCCTTAGTTTCTTCAAATATTTTCAAAACTTAGTGGTGGTAAAAGATTGTATAACACTCACAATTTTTATAATGAAATGAACAAAGTGCTTGATTGCTTCTAAAAAATAACATGATTCTCAAGATTTCGCCCCCCCCAAAAATGGGCCCACAATATCATCTCTTCTCTAAAATATTTATAATGATCCAATGATTTTAACTGATGAAAATGACAGTCAGTCATGGGTAACTAAAGGGAGATCAAATCTTCAAAACCTATCTGCATGATCAGAAACAATTGCCTTAATCTGCTCTTGCTCTCATGAGTAAAATCAAAATATGAAATATAAATTAATGAGTAAAATCAAAATATGAAATTAAATTGAAGAATAGGTTTCATTGAATAAAAAATTACCAAAATATAGATTCTGATATTACATTCTTCTGATGAGCCTTCTTGAAAGGATTCTAATGATAATACACAAAATAAAAATGGAATCTGATGACAGATATTTAAAACCTGAACCTGAATCCACAGATGTTCTACCTAGTGCTAAAAGCAATAACCACTGAAATATTCAGATTCCTAAAATAAAATCTAAGTTTCTAAGATATTTTGATTAATTTTAATTGATTTTTTTAACAAAGAAAAGTCTGCTTCAAATTTGGTAAGTAAATATTATTCAAGTATAAGAATTTAGGTTATTGTGTGGATTTCCTGCTTGTAAGACTTCTCATTTTAAGAAATTTGACTTATAGAATTCTACACATATACACAATCAACACCAAAAGCTCTACTTTTATCAATTAAATATAAACAAAGACTCAGCAAATAAAAGTCAAAAAAAACATTTTTTTAGATATACTATAAAATATAATTGAGTTTAAAATACAATATATATTTTTAAATGTGGGTAAATTTGAATTTCAGAAAATAAAACTTTTTGTATGTGTCATTTAAATGTATCACAACTATTGCATTGGGCAATTTATCCCAACTTATCCAGTTTATCTGAAACTACAGGGCATCCTGTATTTGATCTGGCAGCCTTATTTCAAGATAGATCTGAAAGTGATAGACAAAAATTTCCGGATACTCTAATATGTAAAACATGAGATTTGAGAAGTTAAGAAAATCCATTACAGAAATACCAGCCTATGGCTAGTATTGTGGATTTAAAAAGGGGCATCAATGACTCATTTACCCTCCTCTTTCCGTCTCCTTTCCTCCTCCTCTTGTTGCATTCTCAGTCGTTCTGCTTTGGTGATTTTATTTTTCTTGTTGCCAGGCTTACAAAAGCAGCACATAAAATAAAAAAACAAACAAACAAACAAAAGGCAATGGCCACCTACCCAAATTACTTTAAAACACACAATTCTCAAACAGTAATTATGAAAAACACGATTGGGTCTGTGAAGCTAATCTCTCACTCATTCAAATGAAACTCCCCACTATGTGCAAAGCTTGACTCAGCACACTGAAGGCAGCATATAGAAATAAAAATTATTCAAGGCAAGGGTGGTAATAATAGTATATACAATTTGAATAATACTCATCCCCAGTTTGCACACTTTAAATGATGCCACACAGAATATTTCATTGTTGTGCAGATTACACAACAACATACATGTAAAGACTGCTTCAAGCTAGTACCCCTATAAATGGTATAGGTATTTTTATGAATAACATAAAGATACACAGAGAGTTATTCTGCCAGTTTGGAGGAGGGAGGGATCAGTGGGACCCTGGGAAGACTCTAAGAAGTGATGAGAATGTAGTTGATCAGTAAGCTTTTAAATTATTTATTCACATATCCCCTAAAGAATTTTGAAAAACTCTGTGCCCCTCAACACATTTTTAACTGGCATTCAGAACTTTCACAGCAAGGTGAGCAGCTACAAAGCTTGCATGCTCAGGTAGAAGACATAGGAGATAAAACTTGCATGTCACTCTTTGAATACATCCATCAGGATTTAAAATCAGTTCAATGAGATCTACAGACTGCAGCAATGTAATGACCATTATCAACAATTTTAAAGGCTATGAATGAGTTTTCTTGAATAAAAATTTCAATCCTTTTATTCTTTGAACTCCTATTTCCATTCCATTTTCCTCACAGAATCTTAACCTAATGGAATGTACTTGAAAATATATTATGTGAACATTTAAGATTTTTTACTTCCTTGACTCTAAGACAGAGAAAGAGCCTGTATGATATTGCTCACATGTGGAACCTAAAAAAGCAGAACTCAATAGAAACAGACAGTAGGGTTTGGATTGGGGTGCTGAGCAGATGTTGGAGGAACAGTACAAATGTCTAGTCATAGATGAATAAGCTCTGAGAACTAATGTCCAGCATGGCCACCACAGCTAACACTGCACTGAAGTTAGCTAAGACTGCAGACGGCGTGACCACAGTTAACAATAGTGTGAGCTAGTCAGAAGGTTGCTAAGATTGTAGATCACACACACAAAATGGTAAATATATATGAGGTAAAGTTTGTGTTCAGTAACCTGTAAGTTTACTTAATGGTTTAACAAAATATATAAATATCAAGTTGTCACTTTATACACTTTAAATTCACACAGTGTTATCTGCCAATACTATTACAATTAAGCTAAAAAAAAATGAATGTAATACAAGAACAGGGACTTTGTCCTGAACACCACTAAATCAACAATATAAATATTGCTGATATGCTTCCATATCTTTGCAAGGCCTTCTAAATAAGGGATTTCATTCCTTTTGTTTGTGATAGCAAAAAATGGGGACAACATAAAATCATAGTACATACTTTTGATGGAGTATGATGCAATGATATAATCTCAATGTGCCAGTACAAACAGGTCTCCAAACAGGTCTCCAAGATATACTTGCACCATCTAATATGCCAGACCATTGCTGTAAGATGCACCTTTAAATTATTATTACCACACAGGGAGGTAAGCCCAAGATGGGTGTCACTGCATCAGGTTGGTTAGAATGATAAATGAACCCACAACATTGAAAGTTATTGCCATGAAATGTGCACATCTCGACCCTGAAAATTTATATCACAAACTAATTCATAAGGATTTTCAGTCTGACTCACACCATTATTGTGGCCCCAAAACACTCAAGATGAGAATTTAAAGTAATATCAGGTTGATAGTAAGCCCAAAGACTGACAGACACACACCCTTCTCTGGAGGAAATGGACGTCAATCCAAGACTACAATGATAATGACACTACCAACTGCAAGAAAATCGGGGGCCCTCCATGGTGGCATAATGGGTTAAAGTGCAGCACTATGAAGCTATGTGAAGCCACTGCAGCATGAGTTCCATTCTCAGCCAGAAGGTGAACCACATGGCGCAACATACCTCTCCTGTCCTGCCTGCTGCTCCTCTCAGAAGTATATTTCAGTCAATCAGCCTATTCTGCTGTCTCTGGTGAGTCCTCTCACACCCCCTCCCCATACCTCTGGCCTGTACCCCAGTTCTGGTATGCATAAGTAAACAAGTTTAAAAAAAAAAACAAACCAGGATTTCAGTAGTATTAAAATGTAAGAAGACCAGTGTAGTCAAGTGAAAAACAGAAGGTAGGAGATGCTCCCAAGTATTGAGGATAAAATGTAGGGTGTGTGTGTGTATTTTAATGTTTACAAAATGTATGAAAAAAAATTAGTGGTTTTCCAGTTGGGGCAGGAAGAAATTTCCACTTTTTATGCCATTTTAATTTTGCTCCATGAGTATTTATTATTTGCCCCTCATTTCCTAAGTGGGGGGCTGCTGGGAAATGCGCAGAGCTGAGTGGCCATTTTGGGAGCTTTAATAGGTAGTGATAGAAGATGCTAAGTCTTCACCTCATCAGAGCTGCTGCAGAAGGCAGCGGCCCTGTGGTCGGTGTTCATATGCTTCCTCTCCCCACATTTGCAGGGCCAGTGTTACTAAGTTTCCAACTCTTCAAGGATAAATGGAAACTGCATTTGTGTGAGAAGAGCTTGCAAATAGACTTTTAAAAATATTTTGGCTCAAGCAAAATATATCTGCAGGTTAAATCTGACTTGTCAATCAAGAGATTATAATTCCTGTGTCAATGTGACAGAAAAAGGCAGTGTATACCTAATTTTGTACAAAGTACTTTTCCAAATCAAATAGGTATAACCATGTGTAAGAGAAAAATGAGCATGGTGTCATCCCAAGAGGCACCAGGCATGTGTGGGCAGCCAGGAGGCTGGTGATTGCAGAAGAAAATGAAACCACCAGCAAATCAGAACAGTACCCATGGAACCCTCATTTGCATTGGGGGCCTCGCCCCTCCCCTTTAGCTCAGCTTTCTCTTTGGGTATACAGCTGAAGGGCTCTTTCTGTCTATATTGTCTAGACTGCAGCCCTAGTGTCCCACATAAATGTTGGCTGTAATACTCGAGCTGTAGCCTGACTGCTGCTGAAACTCAAGGAGATTTGGGGGTGGTGAGGAAGGGGGTAAGCGACGAAACCCATTTAAAGGCATTATTTTTAAAGATCCATTTTAAGTCACAGAGGATTTTGTTACTACATTTTTAAGTGTTCGGAATAAAGAAAAGGGGTTCTTGATCCAGTACTTCCTACAGCACAAGTAATAAAAAGTCTCAAATCTAGTCACAAGTAAAATTTAAATGCTACTTTTTAAGTCTTTGTGAAACTGGAAATGTCTTTTTATATCCATTTTGAAATATGCCCTGTAAAGTATTATTCCATAATTTAAATAGCATTAGCACCTAAAAACTAGGATTAGTAAACTATAAACTATAACAAAATAACTAGAAAAATATCTAAAAATTATTGTGAGAATAATTTCTACCTACCTTTTTTGCTTTGGGACCCTAAACATTGGAAAGACAAAAGAATTTATAAGTTTTAAAAATAATTCATATACTTTTAGCAAAAGTAACACAATGATCTAAGATAACAAAATCAGAATAATCTAGTTAAAGAGTATAAGTGATCTCTCTATACCATCTTTGCAATTTTCTGTAATTCTAAAATTATCTCAAAATAAAAAGTATTTCAAAAAAGAATTCAGACAAAACTACAAGGAAGTCTAGGGGAAAACTAGCTATTTCACCTACTGAGGCATCTGTCATAAATAAATTTTACACTCTTTGGTGCCAACCACTCCTTATCCATGTTTAGCAAAATGCCCTAAACCACCAATGAAGAAGTCACTAGTCTAAAGCATTCCAAAAACTAAGAAATCATTGGCGAGATATTGGTATTAATGCCAAATTTGAAAGTATGAGAATGACCTCATATTATAAAGAAATTATCTTACTATAATATAAAATTGCAGATTTTACAGAAAACAAATCAGGTAATAGAAATGACTCTATTCAGCAATTTGTCTTAAAACAAATATAAATGTTAAAGTTGACATGAACAGTAGATTGTACCTTGAAAAGTACAAACATTTTTCAGCATGTTTTTTATTCAGATATTTATTAATGAGTTACACACATTGGGGACTCTCCATCATTGAAGATTATAATAAAGATGCTGCTCTTACAACACTTTTACTAATGGGCTCTAGTTTTATTATTATATTTGCTATCAGTTAGTAGTTAACACCCATCTTGAAATAACAATGTTACAGTACTATGCAATACAACAGGTAAACAGCATTGCCCCTGTTCTCAAGTATTTTATAGTGGCTTGGAAGACTGTTATTTTCACTAACACTTCACTGAGAAGCAGGCTGGGGCGAAGCACATGTCCTCACTCTGTGCTAAATAACAACAATAGTTAGCACAGTAGCTCTCAAAGTTCATGGGATGTAAAAATAACCTTGGATGCTGGTTAAAAATGTGTATTCCTGGACCAAAGTGGACACATTTCCCTGCCCACATTATGACTCCATAAATATTATAGGGTTGAATGAAGTCAAACCTGGAAGCCTTATTTTTAGACCCTGACTCCTCAAAATTTTACCTTTTTTGGATTGTTATTAATTGCCTTATTTGGGTTGTTATTTTTTTTTTTTAATTTGAAATAAGGATTGGAATTGGATTAATTTGCGGTAAGGATTGGAATACAGTGGTCTCTGATCTATTATGACTGAAAAAGGAGAAAAAGGAGAGTTTGGGACACAGGAACACTAGGAGAGTGCCATGTGCAGAACAGCAAACAGTTACCGTATTATCCAAGCTAGAAGAGGTCTGACTAGATCCCTCCTCAGTCACTGTAAAGGGACCATAGCTCTGCTGACCCCTGACACCATGACCTTGGACTTCCAGTCCGCAGAATTGTGAAAGAATACATTTTTATTATTTAAGCCACCTAGTTTGTGGTACTTTGCTTCTTGGCAGTCTGAGGAAACTAACACAATAAATCTGGTGGGGTCTGCTCTGTACCTGGAATGTGCATTTTATCAAGCACACCACATGTGGTAAAAGCAAATGTTCCAGGGACCGCAAGTTGAGAAACACTGCTAAGAGGCTTTTACGAAAGAAACTGATGTACCCGTTAGAAAGTAGTAAGTTGGTGTTTAGCGTTTGCAAGTTTTAAATCCAGTCAGCAGTTTAAAATCCTCTTAAAGCCCATTCACTCCCTCCTTTTCATTAGTGCTCTATTCCCCATTTCCCCCAATTTATGGTAAGCTTATATTCCAAAACACAACTTGAAAATAAATAAGTGCCCTTCACCTCCTGCACCCCCTACATCAGCTTCCTCTCTTTCCCTTGTAGATGCTTCAATTGTTGCAGTTATGAAATTGCATTGCAAGAAATTTGTTTAGTGTGTCCATCATAGGTAGAAGGGGTTGTGATAATCATCTTTTCACTCTTGGCTTCCAGAACCATGTCAAGAACAGAGAATGCACTCTATATACTCCCTTAATTGAGGAATTAAATATATAACAAACTACATTTTCCACTCCCCTTTTAGTAGTAAAAGGACGGAAAGTACATTTAGGAAAACAGGAAAGAAACGGTTGGTGAGTGTACTTTGAGAAGACATGGCAACGGCAGATAAACAAAATAAAAACTTTACTGTGCTTAGTAAACTCAGGGCAGGCTGAGTAGCTAGAATCACAATACAATTCACATTTCCATAAAAAACCGCCTAAATAACTTTTCAAACAGAGTGAACAAAAAACACGTTTGTCAAGTTGCAATGAACGGGCAATGTAACGGGAACGTCTATCAGTTTTGCAAGTGACTAGGTTGGAACTAATTTTTAAGTTTAGCTTCAGTGAGAGAATAGGAACACCGTCTGACCGCACTTGCGACTGTGTTTGCAGAAACAGCTCGGGGACTCCCACCAATTCGCCCATCCGGCGCGGAAGGCCCAGGCCCATGACGGGTGTGAGCTTTTTCCCGACCAGCACTCCTCTAAAATGCGACAGGCTCTTATCATTCAATACTGGCAAAAGAGGACCAACGCCCGCCCGCCACACTGCCCTTCTGCCGGGCTCACCATGTTGAGGTGAGCAAGTCTCCCGCGGTTCGCCTATTCCGAGCTCTGAGCGCTGTTGATTAAGCCCTGGTGTTGCCTGGGTAACCGGCCCCGCCCCCAGAAAAAGCGCAGGCGCAAAGAGGGTCCGCGCAGTCGTATTGCGTGCTTCCGGGTGGCGCCACACCCCCCCCTAGTTGACTGGCTGCTCGGCTGCTGTCAGAGCGAGCGAGGAGCGGCGGCTGCTTTACGGCGGTGGCGTGCGCGCGCCGGAAAGTGCTGGAGTGTAGCCACCGCCGGATGGTGCTTGCAGTTGGCGGGACCCCTGGGCCGAAGCGGTGAAGTATGCTGCGGGAAGGCTGCGGGCGCGGGGACGGCCCAGCTCCCTCGCTACTTCCGTAGAGGGACTCAGGGTGACTCCTCTCGTGGGTGTTTCGCGAGGAAGGGGGTCACGGGCGTCGCGTGGGCTCCGGTGACTTACGCCGGAGCCTTGGCTGCTTAGGCGAGCTAAGTGGGGGTCGGGCTCAGCGGCAGTTGAGACGAAAAGGTAAATAAATTGGCTCCGATGGGGTATGCTGTTTTCAAAAGACCGACCTCCGTATCCTTCTGCCGGTGGTTCTTTTTCCTTTCTGTGAAAGGATAGGCTGTCTTCGAAAGAGCAGCTCGAAACAAAAACCAGAAACTGGAACCAGTTCCTGGGGAACGTGTTCCTGGAGGATGAAGGTCGCTGAGCACAGACAGCACCTTACTCGCCCAAGGTCGCAGGCTAGTTGGCACTAGCCATAACACTGCCCCCAGCATCAGTCTCCACCCCAAACGAAGAAACGCTGGCCACTACGCCAGTCGGAAACTAGAAGCAGTTAAGCTGGATTTTCTGATTTTAGTAACTGAACCCTAAAATGTGAAATTATAGGCACGGTTTCTCATCTCCCAAATCCAGTCCTGTAATAACTTTATCTTTTCCAGCCTCATGCACGACATTAATATTACTGAGCTTGTCTTTCTGTGCTAACGTGTGACTTCCTAAATCCATTTTTAACAGAAACCCAGGTTTTACAATTATGACATCCCACCTCCAAACCTCAAGTAGCGAGATAACATCCTAATGTGGACTTCATGCAGGGTTCTGGAACTGTTTAGTATGGAAATATTAAATTAAGTATTTTATCCTACAGAAACGACATTTTTTCAACGTACTGGTTTTTATTGTTAAACCTCAGACAACTCAAGTAGCATTGATGGACCTAAGGAGGTTTATTCGCAATCCCAAATTACCTTAAAATGGTGGGTGAGCACTGGGGCTCAAGCTATCCCTGTCCACCACTCTCCAGAGGAAAGAAATTGCTGCCCTTGTTAGCGCTCGCTAAACTGTTTTAGGGACTAGGGTGCTGCAAATGATTCATCTCTGAGCTTGGTTCTCCTCCAGTACTTGTTTTATGAAATATGCAAGTGTAAACGTGCCCATTTCCCCCTCTCCTTTATACCTAACCTTTTTTTAAACAGATCTAACCACTTGTTTTCATTTCACTTAGAAAATCTGCCTCTATCTGATTTACATATCCTGTGGTGCAGACAAGTGAGTTGGAGTAAGGTTTTGTCTGAATCTTTTCAGACTTTTTTGGTGAAACGTGTCTGTCCATCAGAACCCACATGTAGTACTAGTGAACTGCTTTTCATTTCCTTCAGCTTTTTATTACCTGAACTTCATGACTGAACAGTTTGGAGTACCACAACCCCTAATAAAATGACAGTTCTCAACCCAAGACTGGGTTTAGTTGAGTCTCAACTCCTTGGCCCATGGGAAGGAGTCATTGGAAAAGAGCTATCAGTGAAAAGTGCACAACCACCCTGTGCCAACCATATACATCCGAGTTCTCAAAAATGATGGGGGCATCTTTTAAATAATCTTGATTTTTATGAAGCATTAAACAGCAGCCCGAGGTCCTTACTGCATTTACATTGCTTATGAGTTGAGAATGTAGGAAAATCTCATTTTTCCAGTAGCTAAAATAAACAAATGCCTGAACAGTAATAGAAATATACTACTTTAATTCATAGAAATTAACACAGAGAATGAGACTTACTTATCCTAACCACATCAGCTACTTTTTTGTCTGAGCAAATAAAAAGGACAATTTACAATTTAAAGGCTTAAAAGCTTTCAAAGATTACAAATTGTAATAAAAAACCCACTGTGTACTTTGCCAGGAATGAAACAAACTATAATTTGCAGTTTCAAATTACATCTATTTTAGATTTATGTTTAAAGTCATTCTTCAATGGAAAATGACTCAGCGCCCCCACCCCCCACCCCAAGTCAAGTTTTAATGAAATTAGATGTTAATATATACTGGGTTAAATACACCTATCTAATTTCACTCTTCCAAAAATCCACTTATCATCCGTGAAGGAATATAAAAATCAATTGGAAGAATGTGAGAACATGACAGCAATAAAACTTTGGAAGCTGCAAAATAAGATACATGAATGTGACTTAGTGCATCAGAAAAACCCAGTTTCTGCTGTGTACTTCTCAAAAGGCACTAGAACAGGGCCACTGGGATTGGAGGTGGAGACTGAATTAAGTGAAAGCTGTTTGAGGAACACCTGTGACTTCCAGTAACTTCCACTAAGCAATGGAGATTTCTGGAAAAAATAATGCACATCCCTGGGATGGGGTGTTGTCAGGCTACTAAGTGCGGTAAGAGCCATTGGGAAAGATGAAGTGAGGTGTACAGAATGCTGAATGCAAGGCTCCATTCCTGTTCTACCTGTTTAAGGCTAAATAGGCAAGACCTTAGAAAATGGGAAGACTCCTGGGGAGGGTGTGACCAGCTCATGCTGACATGCGAGTCCCCTAGTAAAAGATCCACAGTTAGGCCCTTCCTGGTGGCAGAGCACTGAGAAGCTTAAGCTACTTCCGCATGAGTTCAATTCCCGCCTGCCCCGGAGGAGATCCACATGGAGGGGCAGACCTCTCCTGACCGCTCGCTGCTCCCCTCAGCAGTGTTCTTCATCGATCTGCCTGTTCTGCTCCCCGCTCTGTCTCTGGTGAATCCTCTCACCCTCCGCATCTCTGGCCTGCACCCCAGTTCTGTATGAATAAATAAATAAATTTTAAAAAAAAGATCCACAGTCACTCTAAGTGAAGCACAAAGTCCAGACGTTCGTCTAGGAATATACTATATACTAGGAATATACTATATGCGTATTCCTCAATACTATATGCGTATCTGAGGGTTCCCCCCCCCCCTTTCACTTGTAAATGTGGACAATAAAAAACTACCAGACTTAGAAGGGGAAACTCAAAAGTGACTCAAAGGGGACAAAAAGTAGGAAACAATTTGGGGAAAAACAGAAAAGAGTTAGTGTAGAACTGACCTATAGCAGACTTAAACTTACAAGTATAAAACACAACTTAATAGCTGTAGACATACCTCTGAATTCCTGATCCATTTCTGGTCATCCTCTTTTTGCAGCCCTCCCATCTTAGGATACTTTACATTTTTTAGCATTTTAACATGGTGAACATCTTTATGCTGGTCTCCAGCCAGCTCAGAGCAATCTAAGAGGTCCAAATGAAGTCTCCCAAATACCAATCTGTTTTTTGTTAGGGCTCTTTACAGTTGCATAACAAGATGAAAGGCTATTCAAGGCTATAAGTCTTATAAGTGCCTTCCTCAAATGCTAACCTCAATGACAAAAAAACATTAACATTACAATGGTAAATCCGACAAACTTGACCAGCTTTATCACTGGGGGGTGCCTCTTCTGGTTTGGGCAGTTGAACTACTGACCTCTTCACCAGTCTCAAAAATGGATGTGAAATAGTGAATCTGCTGACTCACCCAGTTTCTCCTACTCTTTAGCCTTTGTTAGGATAGCACCCTTCTCGATTTAAACAGGCCTTTTCTGGAGGTCCTGCAAGCAGGACAGACCTTGCCATAAAAGTAGGGTGAAGACAATTTCTTTTTTTAGCTAGCTATAAGGGAACTGAGGCTCGGAAAGGGTAGATAACCTGTACACACCTTATTCAACATAAATGGGCTGATCTGAGCTGATCAAATGTATTTCTAACTCACTCCATTCTGTTATAAAGGGAGGTAACGCTAACGTATCTCTTGACAACCCATTTTCCCTCATCATGCTGTTTTCTTCATAGGATTTGTCACACACAATTCATGTGCTAATTATAGATGCTTCAGATGTTAGTTCTTTGAGAGCTATCGTTTTACCTGACAAGTTCACAGCCTTATCCCTGGAACACAAAAGTGCTTAATATTAATTGAATTATTTTTCTAGCATATAAAATCTTTTTTTTTTAAACTACAATGAAGTTTTTTGCAAAAATTTTTTCTATTCCTTTAGGTATGCTATGTATAAATGTGGGTATATTCTATGACGAATGAAAATGGCCAGTTCTTTAAGAGGAGAAGTACTGAATCTTTACAAAAATGTGAGTTCCTGTGTTGCCAAATTTCTAAATATGTTATGTGATATTGGATGCTACAAAAATATATTATCTTTCTCTTTTCAGCTGCTGTACCTTGGACGAGACTATCCAAAAGGAGCAGACTATTTTAAAAGGCGCCTGAGGAATGTTTTCCTTAAAAACAAAGATGTGAAGGACCCAGAGAAGATCAAAGAACTTATTAAAAGGGGTGAATTTGTAATGAAAGAGCTAGAAGCCTTATACTTCCTTAGGAAATACAGAGCTATGAAGCAGCGCTACTATTCAGATGTAAACGAGACCAACTGACTGCTATAACTATGATTTGAAAATCAGCTGTTTTTCTAAATACTGTAAGACTAAATCTAACTACTAAATCTAAATACTGTAAGAGTAAATTTAACTACAAGTGACAAGGTACATATTCCCTGCAAAAAATACTTACCTGATGCCTTACTAACCAAAAAAGATTTCAATTTCTATTTACAGTTTTATCAGGAATCCTTTATGCTCAACTTTTATCTTAAAATAGAAGTTTAAGCTGTATTACTGGCAAATGCCAATTAAAGATCATCAATCTGAATGAAATAGCATTTAAAACCATTTACCTTAACAGGTTTTTGTCCATTACTCTTAGCCTAATTCATTATTTTACTAATGGCAAAATAATTGAAAAGTCACTCCTCTTACCTTTTGAAAGAGTTTTTTGTTTTTTTTTTTTTAAATCTCTTTAGTACATGAACACCACATATTCAAGGTTCACTACAAAACAATTAACACTGGTAGTAATTTAAGTATGGTGACAAAGAATAGTATGTATGGAGGAAGAGTAATTCTGATCTCAGAACAGCTTGCTATTCAACATAATTGGTGTTACTTATGTACCTATTCAGTTATTTCCATGGTTAATTTCACTGCTGGCTCCCTTTGGGCCTTAGAACATATTACCTGTTCTGTATCAACTACCTTCAGTGATAAAAAGTAATAAACAATGCTATTCTATTTTGTCATAAAGGCTACTCTTGTATTTTCTCCTAAAGTGGATCTATATTTTAGTGAAATGTACCTTTATATAATATTTATAACACCTTTGGTAATATTTTAAATTTTAAAATATTTCTAAGTTAGAAAACAACTTTTCTGACTGAAAACAAGATTACTAGTACATAATCTATGGCTATAAATTATTCCATTACCAATTATAGGGCAAATGTTTGAAATTTCCATCAAGAAATAGACACTAGCATAGTCACCATAACTATTTTTATTACATTACAATTATTAGGAGCAGTACAGTTCATGACAAAAATATTACAAATTTCAGATCACTTCACAGCACATACTCCTATAAACATTTAAAAGTTAATTTTAATTAAAAGAGTGGTCATTTTTAAATTTAATGTTTGGTATGACCAACATTCCTAGGTCAGCGCAACCAAATGATGGGAAACAACTGGATCACACTGCATATGTCCCACAAAAAAAGCACAATGTACAAAATGTGCATGTTTCAGTTTACACTATACAAAAATAGTTAAAATACATTCCAGGTAAACATGTTACAATAAGAAATAGTACTAGTAAGAAATTGGCACTCAAAGGAAAAATGCAAAAGTATTTTCAACATGAAAACACAAGACAGTGGAACTGGAAACTTTCAGATCAAACATTACATAACCCATTTAGCTCTATGGGGAGGGAGACCCTCTGTAATTGACATTTCTGCAGGTAATAACTTTTTTCCTAAATTGCCTATCATCCCAAGCTGGCACTTAAAACTATTAAATTAAAACAACTGTTAATCTAGTTATGACTACTCTTAATAAGGAACTGATAAAATATCCTTAGAAAGAACTTCCATTTTCTGAAGGAATTTCCAGCTTCTAGTGGAATGCTATTTAATTTCTCAATGCAGATTCATACTATCCAATAACACAGAAGTTACTAAATATAAATACAGCTTTAAAGAACTGATGAAGTTTTAAACATTAATATGTAATTACTGATAAGCTATTTTGGACAAATGGAAATGAGTTTTTATTGCCTACCCAAAGATCCATATATTTAAAAAAAAGAATGGTTAGGAAAAATAAAATCACTGGAATCCAAGTAAGATGAACTTGTGCAAACTGCAACTTAACATGCTCCACAAAGTTTCTATATGTATTAGGACAAAACTGTGCAATGGTGCCAAAGGTTTTGATGGATTTTAAAAATTAGGTTCCAGATTCCTATGCAGTGTGACTCAGTTAAAACAGAGCCTAGAGATCCTACTTAGGTCTATTCAATCAAATATACTACACTCTTCTACATTCATCCACAAACAGGTTAATGTCTAACACTAAGTTAATTTAATTTTTTTTCAACTTTTCAGGATTTTTATCTTTAAGGCTGTAACAATTAGATAACATTTGTTATTTCTAGGATTATCTCTCCCTTTTAAAAAGCCTCTGCGAAAACAAACCTTTAGTCAAGCCATTCAGATTTCACATAACGGATAACCACCACCTTAAAAAAAAACTGCCCAGCTACATCAAAAATTCAAGAATCATAAAAAGCCCCTAAGTTATGCACTGTAATTCCTGAAATATGGCCATTTTTTTTCCTCTTGCATAGAAACAAGAGACAGTACTATACAAATCTTAACACCTTACACTAGATAATGTTCAATAAACCTTTAATTTGGCATAGCATCTCAAGAAGTCATGTTAATTTTTACCCTAGAAATTTCCTTCTCTGTGAATTACTTCAGGCACCTATGTATTTATATCCAGATAAACAAAACTAATTTAGAATTCAGTAATTTTAAGTCTATATTAATTACTCATACAGAGAGATCAACCAGAATATTACACACTTGGAAATTTTAATATTATTTGCTAACAAACAACTAATATGTACTATAATTGTCTCAATAGTCACAGTCATGCCAAATTAAAAAATGATATAATCAAGTTTATTTCTTTAAAACAATGAAATGATTTATATAAAGTAGCTTGATTAAATATTGGAATCACAGCAAAACTATTATTTTAGAACCTGAAGAAACTGTAAAGACCATATCCTTTTTTTTAAAAACTAAAATGTCAGGTTATCTCTGGATCATGGGCCAAATGCGTCACTAAGATACAGACTGCTCTAGAATATAAGCACTATTTAAACATAGGATTTATGTCCCAGTTGGGGGATACCAGGATATCCTTAGTGCTTGGCAACTAGTAGGTACTGAAATCAGAGGAATGAATTCTCCTAAAAGCTTTATGAACTGAATCTTCTTACTGTAATATTTGTTATTAAAACAATGGAATGTCCCTTTGGTATTAGGATTAGTCCTCACTGGACATTAAGGAGTTCTGTCAGCACCCTTTATCTAACTATTCTTCCACTAAAAATTAGGATAGGGCAATGCCTATTCAAAGCAGGTCTGAAAATTCCTAGTCACTAATAGACCACACAGCAGAGATGCTGTTCAAAGGATCAAGATTATATTGCGCCAGCCACCACAATCAAATGAGCTCTCAGGCTGAGTCCCATGATAGTATCTGTCAAGAGTCAGTGAAGCCCGAGGACATAAGCTGGAAGGCATTTTGGTGTAATGATGAACACCACAAAGTTATCCAGAGCAGCTAAAATCTTAAGGGAATCAGAAGTATTACAAAGCATCAAGTCATGGGGCATGCAGAAGAGCAGGCAGGCAGGATGAAACAAGAGGGAGAGAACAGTCCTCAAACAGTCCATGGATATTCAAAATTAAGCTTCACCTCTTGCACAATTTTGCCTATGGCTAGCGATGAAAGATAACACAGGTAAAAAGGCTTGTGAGAGTGACAAGTGGGTGTATCCTTTTGTAAACTGAATGTAAATCACACAGTTGTAATATGCTAGATACAACCTCTGAGATGACTTCTTTAAAACATAAAGAAACAGACAGTGATTTGCTGAAAACTGTAATTGTGAAAATAACTACAATCTAAGTCACCTTTCTCCTAGTCCAGTGATATTTTCACCTCAACAAACCATCTCACTTCAAATATTTTAGAATAAGGAGCATTTTATATGCACTAAAAGAATAATTTACTGATACCTATTTTTTAAGAAAGATATTCTGAAAAATGGATCAGACTTATAAAGTGTTTATCAACTGTTATTTCAGCCACAGTTAAGAGAACTAGTCGATACTAGAAATTTTAAAACATTCTCACTTCCTTACTTAAAAAAACCTGGTCTTGGCACCCCAGAACTCAAATTTCATTTAAAAATAAATTTTTAGAGTTTTTTTTTTTTCTTTTAAAAAATGTCCTAAAACCCAAAGTGCTGCTCCTGATCTGTCAGCAAATCTACCAACAGTGAGAATGTATCTTGCCGAGCACCCCAAACTCTCACCTGGTCCCCATTTTTGACCAACCAATGCACCACAACCCAGAGGAGCATGGGGAGTGTCCAGACACTATGACTCTGACCGTGGGTCACTCACAAGGGCCTGGTCTCACAGCCTTGGTCTCCTCAACACCTACAGAACCAACTGGCTCAAATAATCTGTAACACCACTACCAGAATTAAACCTATGATTTTTATCGACTGATGTTCAAGAAAAGATTCAAAGTTATGCTACAAAAGAGCAATCTGAAACAGGGAGACAATATTTAATTTCTATGCGAATTTTTTATACATATTAAAATTCTTTTGATTATTACAAAAATTTGGGAGAAGATACTACCATATAACCCCAAAATGGTTGTTATAACCCTCATTCCAAACTGGATGTGCTTTAACAGCAAAAGATACTCAAGATAATTAGAACTGATGTAATCCGTGGAAAGAAACAGCCTTTTAGTTGTTTCCATTGCCTTGTATTTTTTTCCATTTTTTCCCCTATTTTATAGAAAAAATATAGTATTTTTGGGAGCGTGACAATGACAAATAGCAGTGGAAAGAGGGAGAAAACCTTGGTGAACAGTGTGTTTTTTACATTCGTCAAGGGAGACAAACTACAGAACATGATAGTTACAAGATGAAGCTACAGAACGCCCATATATTATTCATGTTCCCTCAATGTTTTGGTAAAACCACTCATGAACTCTCAATTGAAGTCATAATTCTTTAGTAACCCATGTGTGTGGCTACTAGATAAAACACAAAAGAGGGATGATTCAAAAGCTTCATTAGTTTGCTTCACACCAAAGTTCACAATTGGTAAGAAAAATAGGAAATAATCAACTGCATGCACCAAAAACCCCAAGATGGAAATCTCAGGTGTTCAGTTTCTTTTTCACAGGCATTGCTAGTTCAAAAACCAAAACTCAGGGAATACTGGCACTTAGAGGAAAAAGTTTCCACTGTCATTTTAAAATAAGCATTCAAAAGCTAACAGTTTGGATGGAGCAGAAAGAAAATTAGGTAATGCTAAAACAAATGCTAATAATTTAGTGTAATGTACAAAAATTACCACTTTTACTTAAGTACGCCTTAAGAAAAAAGTACAAATTGTATTTACATAATTATACACTTTGTCTTTGACTTCTTTTTCTTCTTTTTACCATCTTTGCTCATCTTTTCTTTATGTTTTCGAATTTCTCGAACTAATGTATAGAAGGCATCATCAACACCCTGAAAAACATAACAAGTACTAAAGTGTGAATATATGTGATCCTCTGAGACGCAGAGATAATAATAAGAGGGGAACACTAATACTTCGAAAGAATAAGGACATTCTGCATATCTCTAGGCAACTGAATGTTAGAATTTGAGGAGTCTTAAATGTCTTCAAGGATATTTTGCCAACACTGTACGTAGAAACACTGATTTCTATAAAAGGATATAAAACTTAAATTTGCTAATTAATCTTGCCAAACTGGCACAGCTCAGTCACCAACATCTAAATGGATTTGCATGTTAACTTCTGTCTGTGACTAGGTTACTTACATGTAAATATCCCTAAGTCTCCAGCATTAGCTAGGTATAAGCCATGCAATACATACTATTTTTGTAAATTCTCACAATAAACAATATCAGGAACCTGGTTCAAGACTTCTTTAAATAAATTAAATTCATTTAATTACCAAAAAGTAAACAAGTATTTTCAAGTAATATGTTAAGCAAGCATTAATTTCAATTTATGTACTTACCATATAAAAAAAATTAAAAATGACCACAACACAAAACAATAATTTAAAATTGTAATATATATGATTTGTTGAGAAATGAGCTAAATCACTTAAATGGTTTAAATAAATAATTTACCAATCTGGAGAAGATTTCCTATTGTCTTATTCCTATATTCCTATATTCCTAAATGGTTTAAGTAAATAATTTACCAATCTGGAGAAGATTTCCTATTGTCTTAGGTTCTTTTTAGGATATTAAGAATTCAAACGCTTGCACTATAGGGCCCTCACTGGTGGCACAAGGGGTTAAAGCACAGCACTATGAAGCTAGCAGCAGACATTGCAGCACAAGTTCAATCCTCAGCCAGGGAGCTGACCCATATGGTGCAGTAGGTCTTACCCACTGTTACCCTCAGCAGTGTATTTCAGTCAATCCAACTGTTCTACTCCCCACTCTATATCTGGTGAGTCCTCTCACCCCCTAGCTCTTTGCAGTTCTGGCCTTGTAGCCCAGTTCTTGTATGCTTAAATAAATCTTAAAAAAAAAAAAAAAAAAAAGCTTCCCATATCATATAAGCATAAAGCCTTATTGTCATATCTACAAAGCAAGGTATCTAAATGAGTTATGATTCCTAATGTGATAAATGGCACCCTAGAAATGGTGAGACAGTAGACTGAGCCTGCAACATCTAAATGATACAAGATGCAAACATAAAACAATTTTTAGATCCTGTTAAACAAATGAAATATAAAAGTTAAAGAAAAAAATATGAATCTATTTTTAAAACTGTCAAATAAGTAGTAAGTACATTAAAGAAAGCCTATTAGCCCAGCGTTGCTTTCAAACTTAAACACTAGCGGAGTGTTAGCAACAGTCACTCACAAATATAATTGTTTAAATCAAATCACTTTAAGAGCAATTAGCACTGGTTCTAAGTCATTACCACCTCTATTGAATTCACATAAACACCTTCATTAAATTATATTATCTTGAAAATAAATTACAAATTCAAGTGATATTTCTTTTACTGCAATGAGATCTTTTACAATTAATATTTCAAAACAATAATAAAGCAAGGCATTTTTATTTGCTACATGTAACTAAATTTTCACTGATATATTTAAATTAGAGTAAACAAAGTAGTAATGAAAAGCTTGTTCACATATAAACAAAAAGTAGGACAGAAATCAGCATTAGTGATATGAACTAACACTAGTGAATAAAAACCCCACTAAAGTCCCCCAAGCAATACAATTTTAACATTAAAAAGTTTCTTTTTTGCTATCATTAGTGATAGAATATAACTGCATGCTTTTGTTTCACCCAAAGGAAAGCTAAAAATTGGTAAGAAAATTCATAATCACATAAGCAAGTCTTAATTTGCATAAACCTTCATGCTAACTCTCTTAGCACAAAGTATGAAATCTTGTATTGATGTAATAAAAAAAATTCTATACTCACCAAACCTTGACTAAATTTTAATCATAAATCCTTACAATGTAGTAGAATCTTAAAAGAGGATATCTAATCAAACTCCCTACTCATCATCCTATTACAATCTACTTTTCAACTGTGTTTCATAATGAAATAAAAAAAGGTAAACGAGACAAAAATGTAAAGCCCTGGGATAGAAAGAAAACATACACGTATTTAGGAGACAACAACATAATTTTATGGCACTATATTTTTCTAAGATTCTGACATAATTGCTGTTCATACTGCACTATCTTATTTAAATTCAGTAATTTCCATGATTATGGAAATGTTACAAATAGTTAAAGCAGGGATGAATTCCTTTTTTCATGTATGAACTAGTCATTCTCTCACACACATACAAAACACAAAAGTGGTATCCCAGTAATTATTTGAAATTCACATTACACAGGGACTAAAAATATTTGCATAAACCAGAAATTTTAAATATTATGTGCTTCCAACTTCATTTTAAATGAAAATTAAAGAATAAAACATGTTACACTAAATAGTTCTACTTTAAAAAATGATCTAATTATGGGATAAGAGAAAAAAAATTAAACCATAACTTAAATCTGATTGTAGCTGTTAATGAAAAAGTTTAATAACTTTTCATGTTGCATTATATTGTTAACTTTCACAAATTCTAAATTTAGATAGTGCAATGATAAAAAAAAGTTAAAAAATCTCAATAAAAATTAATGCAAGTCATGCTTTGTTTCTTCTTTCCAGTTTAGTAAATTAGTATACCATATATCTTTTGTGACTGATCTTAGTATTCAGATGTACATTTTATACTTTTGGAAATACATATTTCATACCTTAAATTCCAACCCTTAGAGTTTAATAAGCACAATAAATGATATCTTAAAATTTTATTTCATATTTTCACAGAAAATATTGTAAACAATATACATTAAAATCTTAAGCTTTGGCATGAATTTTATTATGTCTACTGAATGAAAGGCTGTCTGAGCAAGACCAAATTTAATATGCATTGATTTAGAAAGGAAATTGAGAAATTCAACTCAATAAATCCAACCAGGCTGCTACTACGTGCCAAGAACCTCATTAAGTAATGGCCATCCAGATTAAAAATACATGCTCTAGCTCTCCAAGATCCTACCATCTAATATAGGAATCAGAAATAAAGGAGGCTATATAAAGATGTAAGCATACAACAGTGAAGAACAGAACCCTGAGAATATACAGAAAGAGCGTATGCCCAGAATCCAAGCTTAAAAAAAGATTCTAGAGAAGATGAGATAGGACAATCAGGAAAAGATATCAACTAATTAGTAAAAGTAGGAAATGAGTATTTTGGCTTTCTAGCAAAAGCAATATCCAAGATTCAGGGAAAGGTAAGTTGTAACTTGGTGCTTATTTATATACAAAAGAAATTCAGACAGGAGTTTTTGAGATAAGGCCATGGCTGAAAGGATAGTAAAGTGTTAAAAGCCACATATAACGTGTTACGAAACTGGAGATTTTCCTCCACAGCTAACAGAAAGTTAGTGACTGGATTCAAAAGAAAGAAGATGACATTTTTTTTTAAGTGTATTTCTCCAGTTGCACTATGAATGAGGGCAGCAACAGGAAAACCATGAGAGAAGTTATGTATTCCCAGCAAGAAATTACAGCTCCTGAATTACTGATGCAGTAAAAGTTAGTTAGAATGCCATGTCCTAAGGATACGTGATTCACTCAAATGGGATGAAGGAGTGGGATGTAGGAATCACCCCAAGATCCCCATTTTCTCAATTGGGTAAATAATGCTGGTCAAGGAGTGAGAGAGCAAGTATTTGCTTCTGGAATGGCCAAAAAAAAAAACAAACCAAAGGGCCCTTTCTCACCTTCTGGAAATTCATTCTCACTACTCTTTACAGGGTAGATGTCTACAGTCATCAAAACTGCCTCAATTATGAATGATTACTCATTAAATTAAAAGTAAATGTACATAGTATGGAAACAAACTACCAGTTTCTCTTTTCACACTTCCCATTATAATAGCACAACTATGTACTTCTAAAAGAGTTGCTACTTTGTTACCTTGGAAAGATATCTGGTTTCTGCCAAAATGAATATACTGAACTTACCAGGTTACATTACAATGCATTTTTTAATTTTCACACAGCCAGGAGTCTTTTCTTCTTTGCTGATTTTTTTCAATCTGTATTGTCGGATCTCTCTCACCAATGTATAAAAAGCATCCTCCACTCTCTGCATTGTAAAACACAACTTCTTTAAAGTTTGTTTCATTGGTCATGATAATTTATTGGGAGAGCCATGTGAAAGAAGTTTAAATTAATTAACTTTACACTTGTGATCTTTTTTTAAAAACAGATAATCAGATTGGTTGAATAAAACTAGGGATGCAGTTTTGAAATATGAGCTCAATCCTGGTTTGTTCTTTAAAGTCACTTTTGTTTTACAATAAAATTAGAATTATTTTTAATTTAAATTAGGAATTAGGGTAGATTACAAAAAAATCTAAGAATATGTTTTAGTATCACATAATGCAATCATTTCAGTTTGCCAGTTACATTATAAATGAAACCTAAACTGAAATTTAAATTATTTCTTTGACTTAGGAAAAAATAATTTATGTTCCACTGATTCCTAACCTCTTACCTCTACCCTTCATCATCACCTTGTGTGGGATGTGAGGAGAAATATGGTACAAAAGGTATGTTTAACCTTTGTTTTAAAAAAAGGAAAAGATCCTCAAAATCAAGTCAGTTCAAGAGACTGGAATTTCAAGTTCCATCTTCAATTCTAGCACTGCCAGCCAATTTCCAGTTTCCAAAAGTGGAGCTGACTTTTGTAGATGGAAAACTGGATCACTTAAATAAAAATTCTACTTTAAGGGATATTTACTGTGATATGAAAACATCATGAATTGCTTAAAAACACATATAAAACAGTAGTAATACACTGTATGAATCCTTATTATAAATCTTGAAATAAATTTTAGATCAGTATCCAATCATACTAGCTTCACATATTTTAGTGTATTTAAATACTCTAAA